TATCATCTACAGTAGCAGAATCCAGTCTTCATTAAACATCAAATAGTAAAAGATGAGTAAAACAAACAAACAAAAAAAAAAGGTTAACAGATCTGGGCCAGCACAAGTAAGATAAAAAATGGCTTTATATTCAAAGCTAACTTTCTAGTGCTGTTATCTCGAGAGAAATAAGAGGGGGGAGATGATTTTTTTCAATGAGGGTGATGAAGCATGTGTATTGTTGTCTTCTAAGTGATGAGTTCTAATAGTGTTAAAAAGAAAAGAAAAAAAAAATTTATGTGCAAGACTGGGTGTGCTTCCTATCCAGGTGAATCATTTTCTTCTACAAAATATTTACATTTTTTTCTATTTAGTTCATATTGCATACCACATTCTTAATCAAAGCTCACAGTGTCTCATTCATGATTCAGATAGAGGGTTGCTCTGCTCATAAGCTCTTTATACAGCTTTTGCATTGCCTCTAAGTTATGTACATTTGGCATGACTTAAACTATAATCATTTTAATTTGCAAGAAGTATTGGCATCTCTTGTTGGTTATAATTCCATCATATAATATGATATTGCATTCATACATCACTGTTTCATAATGTCAACCTATTTAATCACATGGAACATTATTAGGGTATGTCGTTTCTGCAAGGCAAATATTTATTACATAACCAAAGGACTTCCTTTTCTTTCCAAAGATGAAAAGGGAATTTAACAAATTCTTGTATAATCTAACAAATTCCTGTATAAATCAGATGGTTTTTCTTTTCTTCAAATTAAAAATAATACAACCAAATCATCATCTTAAGAATAAATAAAGGAGCAGATAACTTTGTTATAAAAAAACTCAAGTTTGGAATATGACCAGCTTATGCATCAAGGAGCTTTTAAAAACTGTTCACTAAAGACCATACTAAACCTATTAGAATAAGTGTCTGAAGTATCCACTAAACATAACTAACAAGTAATTTCTAAGTGAACTTCTTTCAGACGTCTATGAAATTGATTTTGATTTATGAATTCATAGCCAATGTAAAATATAGGGTTGAACAACATTTGTATTTATATATGGGAAGTTCTTTTTTTTCTTAATCAAAAACACATAAATAAATATCTGTGTTAGCCTTCTAACTCTCATGTGGCTCAGATGACTTAACTATTTACATTTGTTTTACTAATGATTTATATTTTTCACAGTTGAAATGCTTAATAAAAGCTAACAAGGACCCTGGCTGTGCCACTGCTATATAGACATAGTGAATTCCCTAGTACCCTAACTTCCCTAATCTAACATCCCTAACAAATTGAATTCCCTAAAACAAATACTCATAACAACAAAATGGATTTCCAAAGAGTGTCCTTAACTCCAAAAACTTACCTGTTCCCGTGAACGTGGGAGGCACAGAAGGCAAAGGAGTAGTGTATGAGAGTCGGGTCAATCATTTGTCCCTTCTCAGCACGATCAAGTAGGTCTTCAAGGTAACACAGGTGTCTGAAGCAACCTCGGACACCATAACGAGCCTGATACTCATCCAGAACAAAAATCTGGCCTGGACTGAACCACCCCTAAAAGAAAAATAGAAATAAAGAATGTTTAAGCACAAGTATTTGTATGTGTATGTGCATGTGTGTATGCATGTGTGTATGCATGTGTGTATGCATGTGTGTGTGTATGTGTGTGTGTATGTCTGTGTGTGTGTGTGTGTGTGTGTGTGTGTGTGTGTGTGTGTGTGTGTGTGTGTGTGTGTGTGTGTGTGTGTGTGTGTGTGTGTGTGTGTGAGTGTGTGTGTGTGTGTGGTGTGTGTGTGTGTGTGTGTGTGTGGTTGTGTGTGTGTGTTGTGTGTGTGTGTGTGTGTGTGTGTGTGTGTGTGTGTGTGTGCATGTGTGTGTGTGTGTGTGTGTGTGAGTGAGTGCATGTGTATTGAAACAGGCAGAGGATAATAAAATTTAAACTTACTAAATGGGAAATATGCCAATAAATAAAGATGTCTGTAAATAAATCAAAATCAAACATGTATTATCTAATCCTTGTCTCACCATGCAAAAAAGTATACACACACACAACCACATACAAACATAAACATAAACACACACACACACATGCATACATACATGCACACATAACTGCAAACACCACCACACACACACACACACACACACACACACACACACACACACACACACACACACACACAACAATAAAAAAAGAAAGAAGAAAGAAGAAAGAAAAAAATATAGATATATATATGTATGTATGTATGTATATATATTGATATACATATAAATATGTATACATATACACACATACATATATATAATATATATATACATTTAACACACACACACACACACACACACACACACACACACACAACACACTACACACACACACACACACACACACACACACACACACACACACACACACACATGCACACACACACACACACACATACATACGAAAAATAATAAATAAATAAATAAATAAATAAAGAAAAAAAATATATTGCA